GTTTCACTGTGCAGTTCAGGTTGGACTTGAATTCACTTTGTAGCTCAAGTTGGCTTTCAACTTGTAGTGATCCTCCTGGCTCAGCCTCCTGAATGCTGGGATTATGGGCATGTGCCACCAATATCCTGCCTTGTTTTTTTTTTTTTTTTCAAATGCCTTCAGGGCAGGTTTGGCTGGCTTGAGTTGTGGGGATCAAACCACAGCAACCTGAGCCTGACTGCTTTGTTGAAGCAGCCACTTAAAGAACTGAGCTAAGGGGCAGGCCCCCATCCTGCCTTGTTTTTATTTCTTCCCTCTCTCTTTCCTTCCTGTCTTTTGTACCAGTTTCCCAGAGTTTGTGTGATCTTTTTTGTCCTCCAATCTTGCTTCTGGTCTCCTCCTCTTCTATTTTTCTATTTTTTCCCTATCTCCTTTAAATTTCTTTCCTCTGAGTGGAAAATTGCCATAGTGAGGGCTTATTTACTGCATTGTTTTGTGGTTCAACCATAGAAAATTCAGTTACCTCAATTTACTGTTTTCTAGACTGTGTTTGATGATATTGTTATTGCTAATTGCACAGTTTTAGCCAAAGTAACATAATCATTTTAACCAGTTGTTCTTCCTGGTATGTGAAGACTGAGATTGCCCTAAGGATCTTAAAAAATACTCTAGACCATTGAAACTGTTGCCAGAGAAACAGGGCTTGGGCCAAGTAGGCAGCAACTTCTTGTCTCCAGTAAATTGAAGAGGTAGGATCTGTCAGCAGACTCAAAATTCCAAAGCCAGTTACACCTGGAGGACACTTTTGAGAAGTAGGCGTTTAAGAGTTCTAAGTATTAGCAATAAAACAACTTAGCATAGGCAATTTATAATCACCTCAAGAATTTCTGCTTTAAAAAAATAAAGTAGAAAATGAGAGGACACTTAAGTAAGATACAACCCAACTTCCAGCTCACCAGAGACAAACCCATGGGTCAATGAGGTGGAACAATTTGAAAGCCACCCACCTGGACTCTTGGAAGTGGTAACAGTAGAAGTCACAGCAAATGAGTGATGCTCTAGAAAAAAGACAAATGGGATATAATTTATCAGCTACAGAGATGGTGACTATAATGAAAGACCTGGTTAGTGATTCTAGAGCAGATACAGATAAAAAAAAAAAAAAAAGAGTTTAGGAAAAATAATGGAAACCATGAATACCCAACATAGGAAAGAAATGGACTCCATGAAATAGATTCAGACATCCAAGAGATTAAAAGGTCTAATGAAAATATATGCAGCAGAATGAGCCCATGTGAGGACAGAATATCTGATATAGAAGACAGAATTATGGTTAGGTATCATTGAAAAAGAAAGATTTTAAAAAATATCAAGGGACTACAAAAATTGAACAATTGCTAGCTGATGAAAAAAACACAAGATTAATTAGAGTCAAGGGAAAGGCAAGAGATAGTACAGATGACATAAAAAAGCTGTTCACAGAAGTCATGGCAGGAAACGCTCCAAGTAGGGAAAAAGAATGTGACACATAAGTGAGGCCTGTCGAACTCCAATTAGCCATGCATGATAAAAAAAAAAAAAAAACTAGGTGCATAATAGTCAAGATTACAGAAATTCAGCAAAAGAACAATATTAAAAGCTGTTAGAGAAAATGTCGTCTATAAAGGAGAGCTCATCAGAATCACAGAAGATTTCTCAGCGCAAACCCTCAATTCAAGGAGAGTTTGGAGAACAGTATTTCATTTTTTGAAGGTTTTACAGTTTATTAAATTGTCTCATGAAAAAAGCTGCAGTCATTGCAGACAGGCACTGCAGAATCTCTACTTCGGCTTTTTAACCAGCACCAATGTTAGCCTTTGCGATGCCCCTGACTTTCTTCATTCTGTTCTTGCGTTCTTCCACTGCTTTCTTGAGATCTTTTTCTTCTCATATAGGCCGTGTCTTGCAGGTCTATGTTTGGGCTCGTTTTTCTTTGCATAATCCAGGGAATCATAAATCATACCAACGCCAGTCGTCTTGCACCACCAAAATGGGTTCTGAATCCAAACACAAAATTGATGTCTGGTGTGGTCTTGTACATTTTGGCGAGTTTTTCCCGAATTTCTGCTCTAGGTACTGTTGCTCTCCTAGGGTGAAGGACATCAATGATCTTTTGTTTCCTTTGAAGAAGTTGGTTGGTCATGAATTTCCAGGTTTGGATAGTTACTGTGTCATTCATGATGGCAACGGATCCTCAGACAGTCAGGAAAAAAGAAAAAAAGAAAGAGTACAATATTTTAAGCCCTAAAAGAAAACCTCCAAGCTGATGTGCCCTACAAAACTGTCTTTCAAAATTAATGGAGAAATAAGATACTGCCGTGACAACGACTAAGGAAGTTCAGGACCACCAAACCAGCACTCCAGAATGTTCTTTTTTTCCCAAAAATGTTCTAAAGAACATTCCAGAAAGAGATAAGGTATGCAACTCCATGGACGTCAGCAGAATGAATCCATCAGGCAAAGCAAGCAATTAAATGGGGGAAGAAAAGGAAAACACAACAGGAAAATAACTCCATAAGGAAAAGCTATGAGTTATAGTCATCGATTGAAATGATCTTAATTTACCAATAAAAAGAAACAGACTGGCAGAATGGATCAAGAAGTAAGAGCCAACAATATGCTGCACATAAGAAACATTTAATTCAAAAAAGTCTGAAGGCAGATAGTTGTTACTAATACTGACATGCAGAAACCTGGTTGTCAAAGCCGGATTTTCTGAAATGGTGTTGCTCTTCTGTTTGCTCTTAGTCACCAGGTGGCAGCCCA